TGTGTGTGCCGAGTCAAACTACACTCTTGAAAATAAAGGTGCTTGAAAGGTTCTTCACAGCGATGCCATCGAAGAACCAGTTTTGGTTCCACAAAGAACCATTCAGTCAAAGAACCATCTCTTTCTTACCTTTTTATAATCTGAAGAACCTTCTTTTGCCACAAAGAACCTTTTGTGAAACAGTTAAAGGTTCTTTATGGAACCATTTAGACAAAAAGGTTCTTCTATGGCATCTTGAAGCACCTTTATTTTTAAGAGTGTATCTTAATCTGTATCAAAGCTTGTGGATGCCACTGAGACAGGCTTGAGGACTGATGCTTTTAGTGTCGCTGCTTATTTGCATAAAGTTGAAGAATTCTGAACTTTTGTCGCTTGACTCGCATCGCTTGACACGCCCACATTCCGTCGCCAATGGTCACTGTCGCTCGTGTCGCCGGAAGTCGCCAGCTCTCCATTGAAAATGAATGGGATTATGTCGCTCTGTCGCTGTGTGTCGCTGGCGGTGTGAACAGGTTCTTAAGAGCAATCGTAGGCCGGAGCATCGGTGTGTGTGATGAATCTGTTGTAATTCATATGTCTGCCTGCTAAGTGCAAAACTATATGCGCTCAGTACGCTTAAAATTATAAAACTGATGTGAGCATAATAAATTTTTTTGTATCACTAATATAACTGGAAGCGGCTGTTATTTAAACATTCTTACAATAAATAATGTGGTTGACAGAGCGAGCAAGCCTGTGGCATTAGCACATGTAAGACCATCCACCTTTTTCCTAACGAACCGACTGCTTTTTAAATAATGGGAGACACTTCCAGTTTTGGGGAAGTTCCACTCAAAAAGACTGCAACAAATCATTTCAAATCATAAGATTGCGCTACACATATAATCCTTATCCATCATTTTGACTGAATGGGCTGTAAATTTTCATTAATTTTCTGTTTTCAGAAGTGTGGAGAATAACTTTACCTGTATATTAATGTGACGTGATATAACAACGATATCTATAGAATGCATTATTTTCCTCCTGATTATTTTCATGTTTCCTTTGTATTCCGCTGTATAGGTAAATGAAAAAAAGACAATATGTACTGTGCATTCTTGGTCTGCTCTCCCGATTGAATTTACAATATAAACCATGAATGATTCCCTGGAATGCACTAAGAAGCTTTCTTTTTTCTCCCCAAATCCTCACGTCTCTTTCCAGGTTTGTTTTCACACGGATGCTGCAAAATGTAATTGTTAGGAAATACAGACATATATTACTATAATGATATTTCACACATCCGCAATTTTGCTGCGGATAGGATCTTTAGGAGTTATTCGTGATATGTTAGTGAAAGTAATCTGTTAATGCGTTTACACTTTCAAATTTCCTTTTAATGATCGATGGTTGAAGGGTGAGTAAAATAATGTCACCTCATTGCACCCAGTTTTTGAAAATGCTTATTATTGCGTTCAAAGAGCGAACCTTTTGCTGATTGTTTGTTACGCCCATAATTTGCGCAAAGCGTAGGAAAAAGATGGATAATAAGATCAGACAAATTTTTGGCGAAACAGTGTGATTTTTTGTTTAATTATTTATTTATTGCAAAATTGCTCTGTAATTAACTCAATGTGACAAGCTCTAATCATTAGAGATTAAAGTATACATGCAGCGCTGCTTAAGATTTAGGGTAATATGAGGTAACTCATAAGGCAGCCTCATTTTGAAACAGTCCTAATGCTGAAAATGTGCTTGTTATGCCTTAAAATGCTGTCTAGGAAGACAAATCTCAGCTGAGATTTGGAAAAGAGCTTATTGTTGTGGCAATACATGTATTGGCCACACTTTATTTTTAGGTCCAATTCTCGCTATTAACAAACCATTAACAATGATTTGCTCTGAACAGTGGCTGAATTATGTCTAGATCAGTGACCATATTGATCAGTTATGTCTAGATCACTAATAGTATTGATCAAGGCCTCTTGCCATGACAGCTTGTAGCGTGGCTTCTCTTGTAAATCACATCGAGTCATCACGAGTCCCTCGCTGTGGGTCTTTTGTCTTTGTGCTGTTGGGAGTCACCGGCGAGTCTTGTAGGGATGAGAGCGTATTGTTTTGGTCTTTCCCTCAGGTCACCCTGGCCGTGTGTTGAAGGTGGCCTCAGCGAAGCTCTCTGCTCAGGTAACGCTGGGGACATCTGGCTCAGGAAGCCATGTCAACCCAGGCCCTATCCCCAGTGCTGTGAGGGCCACCATCCGAAAACTCAACATGACCAGCCTTGAACCCCGGGACCTCAAGTGATCGATCCCGGAGGGAATAAATTGGTGGAAAACACGCTAGTCGGTGCATAATCACTCAGACCTGACAAACTGAACACACAGTTCCTACATAAACCAGCGAACCGTGTACTGAGACTCAGAGAGTGAGCGGTAGGGTTACGGAGGTGTTGTTGATTATTGGGTAACTTTGGGATCTCCAGTGGTCTGTGATGGATCAGTCATCTTTTTGAGGAGGTTTTGAGGAGGCTGCGGTTGGGACTGTGAGAGGACGTTTCTTCCTTAAATCTAGGTTGAGTTATTTTTGGTAAGTTTGTCATTTTTCTTCTTCTGTAAGATTTTACGTTATGTTAACTGCAGTCCAAAGTAACAGTATGTGTTTGTTTTAAACCTGTTCTGATGTATTGGGTTTGGATGTTGAGGGGTAACATCTGCAATGTCAAGAACATCACCAGTCCTGGATATTTTAATTACTGGGCATAGAAATCCTTTACAGTTGGATAATGAGCGTATGCAATTAGGTGGAAATGGCCAAAGTGGCGAAGGGCTGTCAAAGGGCACAGGCTCTAATCCAGAACGCTAGATGTTTAATGCAGTTCACCTATCATGATCTAGAGCACTTTAACCATTTGCGCCTAAAAATAATAATTAAGCAAATCAATAAAGCATTGATGGTCCAATTCTCGGTATTAACAAACCATTAACTATGACTTTTGCCTCAATAAACTCCTCTAATTTGCTGCTTATTAATAGTTAGTAAGGTAGTTGTTAAGTTTAGGATTAGGGGTGTAGAATATGGTCATGCAGAACATGTGCTTTATAAGCACTAATAAACAGCTGATATGTTAACAATAGGCATGCTAATAAGCAGCTTGTTAATAGTGAGAATTGTTCCCTATACTAAAGTGTTACCAGCTTTTAAAGATTCCTAATCTGAAAACGATTTCTTAGATGTGTTTTGTGGTATTCTATATCATAGTATAAATCACATATACTGAAAATATATCTTGTAAATATTTGGAGGTTGGGTTTTTTTGTTTGTTTGTTTGTTGAAGCACAGAGCAGAGACAGATTGTTCAGATGTGTGCTAATGTGTCTGAATGTTGTTTTTGGCGGTTGAAGTCTTTATGAAATCCCTGTGAAGATTAGGCTTATGTGAGATGGTCACCTCATCAAAAAGTTAAACTGGTATCAGGCTGTGTTGTGGAGGGGCTTTGCCTCAGGAGCCCTTGCTAAAAACAGCTGTTACCTGCGGCTCACTTTGGCTGTCTTAACTCTCAGCCTCATAGCCCAGTTTCCACCACAGAGTTCGTTTGATCTCAGGCACTGTTTTATTGTATATTCCTGAAGATTTATTTTTTAGTGACTTCAGTATTTTTACTGAAACTTCAGTATGTAGACAGTGACTGAAGCGAGGGAGAGTAAAAAATAAATTGTATTGCTGGCTGAATAAAATGTGTGGTGACAGTTATTTCATAATACGTTTCAATGTTACTTGTATTTATTTAAGGTTATATAGACGTTGCATTTGTATTACAGTTTAGATTACAAAAGAACGTTGTCCTAATTTGGTAACACTTTACAATAAGGTTCCATTTGTTAACATTAGTTAACTACATTAGTTAACATTAACACTGAAAAATACTTCTAAAGCATTTATTAATCTTTATTTTAACATTTACTAATACATTATTAAAATCAAAAGTTGTATCTTATTAATGTTATTCGGTGGACCTGTGCTAATGAACAGTTGTATTTTTATTAACTAACTTTATCAAATAAAAATAAATACTGTAATGCATTGCTTATTGTCAGTTAATGTTAATTAATGCATTAAATATAGTTAACAAATGGAACCTTACTGTAAAGTGTTACTCCTAATTTTTTCAGATGAAAAATATGGGTAACACTTTATTTTAAGGTGTCCTTGTTACACGTCACATGTACTTACTATTATAATAACAATAAATGGTAACACTTTATTTATGCATAATTACATGCAAGTAACCCTAAACCTAGCCCTACTCATATAGTAAGTACATGTAGTTAATTAATATTACTCAGTACTTAAATGTATAACTACACTGTAACCAGGACACCTTAAAATAAAGTGTAACCAAAATATGTAGATAAATGGCAGGCATACAGTGGTCTTCTAGTATACTTCCATTTGTAAGTGCACAACTATCAGCACATTTTGTTTGTTTGTATAAACAATAACATCTTCTGTGGTAATGCATTCTGATTCTGCAGACATCTTAGTGTGCATGTATAAAAGTGTGTTTTTCTATAGGACAGTAAATGGACTGATGGCAGGCCACATTTTATTAATTGCATGGTCATTTGCATGAAGTTATGCATCAGTAAATGCCGCCTATGTCTGAAACCCTCACGAGTCACTCCATTTAGGATTAGGCCAAATGACAATCAATATGACTGATCACAGCTTAAGACCAGCGCTTGAAGCACCTCATATCTGAAATCAATAAACTTCAGCTTTTTGGGATTGTGATTGTAATCTCATCGTTTTAGCCAGGCTGGGTCTGATGGCGACATTAGCATGGTCTGATCTGTTTGAAGGTGCGTCATGCACATGTATGACGGCCTTCCGTCCGAGGATGTGTCCCCCGGCTGTTCAACCTCTTGGATTTGTCCGGTGTCAGATTAGAGAGCGTGCTCAGAAATCTTCCACCCAATTTGGCAGGGCGAGGGGCGAGTGGGGCGGGTGGATTCTCCATATATAAGAGCCGGTGTCCTCCAGGCAATTTTCACGCAGTTTGCTTCACGACTTCATGTCGCCAATGCGACCGCCGATCGCATTCTGCTCAAGTGCATTGAGCTCAGACATTTCTGTCGCATTACCTTCAGATTTTTAATATTTTTGTGTGTGTGTGTGTGTGGTTGTGCCTTTGAAGATTTTCGTAATGAATTACTGCATGTCAGACATGTATGACATAGGCCACGGTGTGAGCGGGGGATATGCGGGGCCTCCCGGAGGTGAGTACTGCATGTACGCTGGAGAAGGGCCCGGTTTCGCTCGCTGTGAGCCGCAGCCGTTACACCACCATCCTCCCAGCATGGAGCAGGCCTGGCCGCCCAGCCAGCCCTATGGGTGGCCGTTCACTGGGGGCAACCCTGTGTTCAAGAGCGAGTTGTGCTCCATGGACGTGCCTCTCACTCACTACCACCAACCAGACTACTACTCCGACGGCAGGCCAGACTTCTCTCAGATGCAGTGGATGCAGGGGCCACACAGGAAAGGTATCGCAAGCTCTAGGAGAAGCATAGAGGTGCTGTTGGGTGCCAGAGTTTTGTCTTTTCTTGAGCTTATAATTGGCATGTTTTTAGGTGGTTTGCCTCTGTTACATGTGTAATAGTCTAATATCTCAGTCCAAAAATAATGTACTCAGCAATTATAGTCAGTAAGTTCTGTGTTTAAATGTGAGATCGGATTAAGTAAGATTTGAAGAGTTTATTTGCAAAAACAGATAACTCAGTTTTTTTTACCATTTTCAAAAAGCATGTTTTATTGTGTTGGTAAGCTGTATTTTTTAGTTGTTTTTAACCTAATCAAAATAAGCCAACTGCAGTTTGATTGAGATTAATTGGAATGCACAATGAAAAGGCGTGTTTTTTGAAAATGGTTAAAAACGGAGTTATCTGTTTTTGCAAATGAACTCTTCATTTCGATTTACAACTTTAAATGTAGTGTTTTATTGTCTGATGTTTGGGGATTGATGAGATGTACAGCAGTGGATGCTTTGCAAATGTGTCACTGCAGTCGATACTGAAGACAAGCTGAAGGAGCTTTTCTCAGGACTAACTTCATTTGTCCGAGACATTTTTCAAAGACATGGTGATTTGTTTTTGTAGGGGATGTGTGAAGCCAGTTTTCGTCAGATGGTCTAACCACATGTTTAGTTCATCGCATTAAAACTATCAGTAACATTGTTGAAAACACTGTGATTTTATTTGAAACTGAACAACTTGGCTTGACACTTGCTTTGATAACTTCATTCTAGTGCAATTATATGCAACAATTTTTAAGTGTGGCTTAAGAGTCTGAATAGTTTTTGCTGCCATTTTATGTCTGTGTTCTCTGTTATAGCCTTCATTTGTGCCACTCAGAAATATAAATCAGTGTTAGCAAGCAGTGTTGGGGAAAGTTGCTTTTAAAAGTAATGCATTACAATATTACGTTTCTCCACAAAAAATGTGTTACTTAGTAAGTTACTTTTTATGGGGGCTACTTTTTATACTTTTTATCTGGGCTGGGATTATTTTGTGGTTGTCTAAAGTCAATTTTGCTCATTAGTATGGTTGAATTGGATAATCGAAGACTTTGTTTAGCGTAATTGGATTAAATCCAAAAAGGATATTGGTGTCATTTAACATATTAGATTATTGCAGGTTTGCATCACATTCAGAGTTAGCATTTCACTGTTTCTATTTATTTAGAGGAATACTGAATCTGTTTGTGTGTGCTTGAGATTAGTAAATGCATGTTCACATTTAGTCTAGATCTAGTCTAAGGCCTCTGCACTAACTCCCGATTTCTCTCAACATGTGGACAGGAGAGCCATGTGTCAGTCAATACATGAGAAAACAAAGGCAAAACTTATTTGAAATAGTAACTCAGATGTTTTCTTGTGAATGTGTTTCTTTACTAGTAACTTGAAAATAGTAATCTGGTTTCGTAACTCGTGTTACTTGTAATGTGTTACCCCCAACACTGTTAGTATGTATTGGAAAAGCTTTTATTACAGTATAGTGAAGCTGCTGTCTTCTGGACTGAACTTGAAGAGACTGTGCTCTTTTAAAGACCTACTCGTGGAGCTACATTGTGTATTGTATTGATTTTCAGTGTAGGATGGAGGTTTGGGGTATTGTGTGTTGTATTGATTTGTAAGGACACAGACAGAGGAACAGAAGGTTTGAGCTCATGTCCTCTGACCTCCACCAAAGACTCATTGATCAGATTGATTTGTGAGCTGCTGCAAGCTGCCTAAACTTATGTGTGCCTTAAAACTTGTATTTCCTTGTGTTTCTGTCCCAATATAAAAGCATTCGGCTAAAATGATCTTTTTTCCTTTATTTTTTAGTTCTCATCTTTCTCACATTGCTCTATTTTCTCCTATACTTTTCTTTATTTGCACAGACTCTTAGTTTTAGTCACACTTTCTAAATGTAGCGGTTATAATTGAATCATTTTCCTGTTTGATGGTAAATTTAGAGTATCTTGAGTTTTTGTGTAGTTTTAAAACTTTGCAAACAATTTTATTAGTTCTCATGCAGATATTTTCAGGTTAAATTTGCTTATTTTATTGTAATGTGTTTCTGACTGTACCTGTAACTTCTTATAGGGTACATACCAAGTTACCTGGACAAGGATGAGCTGTGTGTTGTGTGTGGGGACAAAGCGACTGGTTATCATTACCGCTGCATTACCTGTGAGGGCTGCAAAGTGAGTGTTTCAGCTATAGAAAAGCACACTGCAAGAAAAAAAATCTGTAGAAAAATGGGTAACACTTTATTTCGATAGTCCACTTTAGACATTCTATTAACAGTAAGTAACTTTGCAACTACATGTCAACTAGCAGTTAGTAGAGTATTAGTAGACTGTCTGCTTAATATCTTCTAACACTTTCTTTGTCAACATTCTACTAACCCTAAACCTACCCTAACAGTCTACTCTGAGAATTAGTTGACATGTAGTTGACATGTAGTTACAAAGTTACTTATAGTTAATAGAATGTCTAAAGTGGACTATCGAAATAAAGTGTAACCGAAAAATGCACTGGTAATTTTCTGTTAAACTTACAGATATTTCCTAAACCCTAAAACACAACACAATGCAATGCATAATAAAAAAAAAACGTCTGTTAAAAATCAATACGGAAGATTCCTTCATATGAAAACAGTACACTGGATAAAAGTGTTTATTAAAAGTGCATTAAGTACACTATTTATTACATTAATTACACGCCACATGTATCACACTCTGTTTGAACTACTCCGTTATGATATTTCTAGGAAGGTTCATGCTTAGCAATTAAATGAATTCTTGTTTTTAAAGGGTTTTTTTCGACGCACAATTCAGAAGAACTTGAACCCGACATACGCATGCAAGTACGAGGGCAAGTGCGTCATTGACAAAGTCACGCGCAACCAGTGCCAAGAATGTCGCTTCAAGAAATGCGTCGCTGTCGGCATGGCAACAGACTGTGAGTAGCACACTTTCTGCAAATACAGGCACTTTACAGTCTCGGCAGCGGCCAGAAAGTTGATTTTGTGTTTGATTGGTAGATAAACAGACAGACACTATGTTTCCGTCCACCTATTTTTATGCACAATTTGGGATACCGTGTAAAAAATGCTGGATGGAAACGCCAAGATGTGCATAAATTCAAAAAATGTGCATAAAAAACTTATGCGCCTAACTAAGTCGGATAAATTTCTTATCCGATAACTACGACGAAAACACTTTTACCGAATAAATTCCTTAATGCGCACCAAAAATGCATTACATTTCAAATTTGCACCTAACATACCTGTACATACTAAATTGTCTATTTTGTATATTGTGTTTTTGCACATTGTCTGTTTTGTATATTTGTATATTATTCTTTTTATTATCTGTGTATTGTCTTGTCACTGTCATTCTGTCGCACTGTGGAGCTTCTGTCACTAAAACATATTCCTCGTATATGTAAACATACCTGGCAATAAAGCTCATTCTGATTCTGATTCTGAAAAAAGCATTTGAAATGCTAGTTTCGTCATTCTAAAATTCCGTCAAAGTGCTTCATTCTAATTAACACCCAGAACTGCGTTTCCAAACAGCAGGCTCCGAAAATAAGAAAACATGACCGCGTTTCGTCTCGTAATCAGAGGCGGACAGTAGTGAAGTGTTTTTACTCTGCTTTAAAAGTACTTTATCACTTTGAGTGTTTTTCTTCAGAAAACTTTACTTCACAACATTCCAAAGCATAATATTGTACTTTTTTACTGCACTACGTTTCATATTAAATATAATTTAATACTTAATTACATTAGAAATCTATTACTTTCTTTCATTTACTCAAGTAAAAGTAATTCAAAGATTTACTTGAGTACAAGTAAGTACTACATTTTTAATGTTCTTAAGTATTAAAGGTAAAACAAACAACAACTTTTAGTTATGAAATGTAGTGCAGTAAAAAGTACGGCATTATGCTTTGGAATGTAGTGAAGTAAAGTTTTCCAAAGAAAAACACTCTGATAAACTACTTTTTTATTTTTTTATTTACTTGAGTAAAGTAAAAATACTTCACTACAAAAAGGCATAAAAGCCCATCAAAATAACAAAAAAAAAAACTTCACTACTGTCCGCCTCTGCTCGTAATTTATTGTATTCAAAAATTATTATATGCAGTGCCTTCTCCTACTGCAGCTAATTTAATTTTTCTTCGTGATATTTAGCGCAAGTTAATCAGGAAGTGACGATTTTGTTCTCTTCAACTCACTAGATGGAAACGGTGCTGTATTCGCAAATGTTTTTCACGATATTCCCATTGTGCGTTTAATTCGAAACTTTTAGCTTTTGTGTGTTGCTGTTGTTGTTCCTCCAGTGGTGTTGGATGACAGCAAGCGTCTGGCCAAGCGGAAGCTGATCGAGGACAACCGCGAGCGGCGGCGGCGCGAGGAGCTGCAGAAGACTGTGTGGGAGCGACCCGAGCCCACGCAGGAGGAGTGGGAGCTCATCCGGGGCGTCACCGAGGCCCATATGGCCACAAACGCCCAAGGCAACCACTGGAAGCAGAAGCGCAAATTCCTGGTGAGAGGTCCCTTGCCTGACGAGCGCATCGCAGCGATGTTTCTTGTGTTTTAGGATGTTTCTTTGTTTTGGGTGGGATTCTGTTTTTTGTTTTACCCTACCACAACCCTAGATTCCCCAACCCTTCCCACACAATTCCCAAGCCCTTCCTCACCGCTGTTCCCAATGTTAATATGTCTATGTTTTTGTATCTCCTTGTAGAGTGGGGAGTGTTAGATGGACGCTGGAGTCTCTACCGCAAAGGCAGCAGCACTAACTTTAACGGAACACCTTTGTCCTTCTTTTCTCAAGCTCTGTTTCCTAAACCAAAACTGTTATCTCATGTTTGTTTTGTCTCTTCTGATCTTCTTCTCTCTGTCTTTCTCTAACCCAGTTTCTAATTGTTCTTGTGTTCTCTTGAATCGGACTCTCCTCTACAGATTGAAGTTCTGTTTGAGGACTCTTTTAACACCGCTGTGGGTTTCCATGAGACGCTTAGTTGCCTTCTTAAAATGCTTGCAATTGCGTTTCATCACTGTCAAATGTTTAATTTGGCCATTACGTTTACTTTACAGTTCTGCATGTTACAGCATTAAGATATAGTTGGTTCAATAGCTTTTCTGATTTGAAGTGTGTGTTTTCTAAACCACTAGAGGAACCAGATGCAATTGCAGTCTTTCTGTATGAGCAGCCAGACACAACAGCATAAGTTAATTTTTTAAAAATTGTGTTCGGTAACACTACAAGTTCAATTAAACTTCACTTACTCTATGCATTAGAAATAATGCATTAGAGTTGGCAAGTTCAATTAATTGCCGTCTGCTTCAAAACTCTTTGATTTGTTAACATTGCTCAAAAATGTTCTCGGAAGTCAATTTACAGTAAAAATGTATGTAAATATTGCTAATCACTATAGTATATTGGTCCATAATAATCCTTTTTGAATAACATTTTAAATATATAGCGAAAATGGACCTCATTCATGAAACACGTGACGCAGAATTAATTTTTGTGTTAATTGTTCATAAAACAATCTTACAGAAGTTTTTGCATTGAATTAAATGGTTTTAACAAACCTTATAGCCAGTGTTGGGAAGGTTACTTTGGAAATGTAATAGGTAAATGTAAATCTAAAAGTGTAACTATTTCAATTACTTTATTAAAATAATGTAACTAATTACTTTTTCTGAAACTGATTACAATTACATTTATTTTGTAATTAAATTACGTAATTTTGTTGCGTGTAACTACCGTATTGGCCCGAATATAAGACGACCCCCCTTTTTCCAGATGTACCTTTTGGAAAAAGGCTTTTTAAAAACCAAATACACTTTTTGATATACCATAAAAAAAAAACAGGTAGCCCATCTGAATTAGGACATTTAGGCTATCCATCTAATAGTAGCCTACCAAAATCTTATTAACAGTAGAAGTTAAATCTTACTGTAGTCTTCAAATCTGGGTACTGTCTTACGTTTTAAAATCACAAAGGGAGTTTGGTCCCATCAGGCTAACGTGACAGTCACGACTCATGCAGCTGTAAGGTTTTCTGCTTTTGTTTTTACTCGCGATCTTTACAACACGCATTACATTACGTATTTCATGGCACACTCGTTTTATATGTATTTGGCGCCACCTAGTGTTGTGGGTGTATTATTGACATGTCAAAGTCTAGACACTGAATATAAGACGACCGCGTTTTTTCAGATGTATTTCCAAGAAAAAAACATCGTCTTAAATTCGGGACAGTACGGTAGTTACTGCCCAACGCTGCTTAAAGCTTTCAATCATGCATGAAGCCCAGTGTCTGTTTGAACAGACTGTGAAGCCACTTCAGAATAGCATGAAATGTTTGTCAAAGGGCTAAAAATAACACAAAAAAAGCCAAAATCCCCTAGTCCTAATTTTCATACATTGTGTAGTAGAACATAAAATTAGTTTTCCTAAACCATTTCACAGTAAAAAATCAAAGACATCTCTGTGCAGTTATTCCGTGCGTAATGCAAGATTATTTTAAAGCCTGGAAATCCATGGAAACTCCACACAAACTTAATATCTCACTGTCACTTTCTGTCTGCACTCTCACCTGTCCAGTTTAAACTTGTTCTTTGTAGTTGACTTGACTCGGGTTCTTCATTGAAACTTCACGATCCCTGTTGATTGCTCAACAGGTCGAGGAAGCAATGCTACTTAATGAAATAACATGTAATTTATTCTGTACTTCTGACCAGAGTGCAGTGGGGGTGAAGGAAGCCAAGGTAAGAACCAGCAGAGCAAACACATTTATTTATGTTTTTATCCAAAAGAAACGCTCTCTCAAATTCTCAGCTGCTTCCATTTCTGTCACGATTTTTTTTTTCTTAAATAAATCAACTTGCTGAATGCTTAAGGCATTTGTTTGGCGTGTTTGTGTAGCTCTCTGCTCGCTGTGTCAGAATGAAGGTGTACACAGAAGAGGAAAGCTGAATAATTGACTAATGCCAAAGGGGAACATCAGGCTGGTTTTGTGCTGTACTCAGCTCCCAGTCTTCATTTGACCCTCAGTCTGGCTTTGTTTTTGTTTTGTTTTTGCTCTGTCTTTCACGTCACATTTTTCTGGTCAGAAGGGCACAAATCTTAAAAAAATAATAAAAATAACATTAAAATATCAGTGGATAACCCTAGTCAATAAGCTCCCCACAGAAGGAGATATCAAAGACGCTTCTCTGCTCTGATCTTCCTCTAGTTTAAGTTTCTCATCTTTCCTCTTTTCCCTCTTAATAACTGGGCTTCACTCTTGTTTCGATGATGTCTTGCTGTACTCTGGCCTTCTTCGTGCTTTAGAGGGGAATGAGGATTTGCTGTGTCACACCTTCGTCTCTGTGATTGTCCACTTCCTGTAAGTGCCTGTGTTACTGAGCTCGATGCCCCTCCCCTTCCTGTCGTTGCAGCCCGAGGACATCGGTTCTGCGCCCATCGTCAACGCACCAGAGGGGAGCAAAGTGGACATCGAAGCCTTCAGTCAGTTTACAAAAATTATCACCCCCGCCATCACTCGTGTTGTGGATTTTGCCAAAAAGCTGCCCATGTTCTGTGAGGTAAGAATGGCGTACCATGCATCAAACACAGGGAATGAAACTGAGCGGTTGGTCAATGTGGGTCGATGCACGGTGGCCGAGAGAGCTCAACACGCTGCAAATGAAAAAACACGTGCAAATTAAGAAAACATCTTCATCAGTTTGAAAACACGCGCGCGCTGCAATGCTCACAACACAACCAAACAAAGAGACCACTTCGGAAAGGTTTGAGGGAACCGCAAAGTGACGAACATGACTGGGACATGTTTATCAATGTTTGCTCTGAAAGCTGAGATTTTTGTTTATTTTAACATCCTGATCATACGATTCCTTAGCTGTTTTGTTTTTTTTGGGGGGGGGGATATTATTAGCCTAAATAAGCTGTCGAAATACACAATTACTGTAAATGTGAAACGTAAGCTGGCTAACTTACTTTTACAACTTCCTTTACAAAAATTAACCGTAGCCTGTGGTTTTACTATTAAAATTTATAAATACATTAATATTAGTGCTGTCAAACGATTAATCGTGATTAATCGCATCCAAAATAAAAGTTTTTGTTTACGATATGTGTGTACTGTGTATATTTATTATGTATATATAAACACACACACATACAGTATATATTTAAGAAAAATATGCTATGTTTATATATTAAATATATTTATATATAAGAATATAAATATATACATGTAAATATTTTCTAAATATATACATGCATGTGTGTGTATTTATATATACATAATAAATATACACAGTACACACATATATATCATGTAAACAAAAACTTTTATTTTGGATGCGATTAATCGCGACTAATCGTTTGACAGCACTGATTAATATATAAAAAATAAATAAAACAAAAAATGGTTACTATAGTTAAACCATGCACAAATTAACCACGGAGTTACTACACTAACCATACTTTTGGTATTTGTATATAACTGTGGTTATACAAATGGTAATAAATACGCCAAAAAAAACGTGGTTAATTTTCGTTTTGTTGTGGTCTGTGCTACTTGCGCATTTCTCTATTTGTTTGTGTTGTAAGTATTTGCAGTGTGTTTCTTTATTGGTTTGTGTTGTGCGCTGTCAAACTGATGAAGATGTTTTCTTGATTTGCTGTTTTCTGAAGTTGCAGCGCGTTGAGCTCTCTCGGCCACTGTATCGATGTGCTGTAAAACAGATTGATCAAAGCAAAAAATGCATCAAAGTGAGGAAATTAAATCATTTAAAGAAGAGATTACATGTTTGGATACACACCAGCACATGTGATGACTGATTAATGTGTAATGTGTGTCCTTGTTCAGCTGCCTTGTGAGGACCAGATCATTTTGCTGAAGGGCTGCTGTATGGAGATCATGTCTCTGCGAGCGGCGGTGCGATACGATCCCGAGAGCGAGACTCTGACGCTGAACGGGGAGATGGCCGTCACACGGGGCCAGCTCAAGAACGGGGGTCTGGGCGTGGTCTCCGACGCCATCTTTGACCTGGGCGTCTCGCTGTCCTCCTTCAACCTGGATGATTCGGAGGTGGCGCTGCTGCAAGCCGTGATTCTGCTTTCCTCCGGTCAGTGCCATCTTCACTTTCAATCAAATCATTCATTCTTTTTCTTGTCCATCATATTAGGGTAAAATATGTTCACACAATTACCAGCCCTTTTTAAATATAATTGCAAAAATCTCCATCTCTCTGCTCTTCTTCATGAGTTTCTTGTTCCAGTGAAAAGTTCTAAGAATGTTACATGGTCCAAAATTCCAAATGATGCAGGCAAATGTCAGTTGTCTGTGAATTCTATTTCCGCCGATGAATACAAAAATAGAAAAAAGGGAATTGCGACTTGTTTTCTCAGAATAGCATGATATAACCTTGTAATTGAGTTATAAATTCACAATTGCGAATTATACAATCAGAATTGCAGGATATAAAGACAGAATTGCTAGATACTGCTTAGAAAGTCAGAATTGTGATATAAACGTGCAATTGTGAAAAATTCTGACTTAATTTCTTACAATTCTGTCTTTTTTCTTGCAATAGAGCGTTTATACAGTATCTCACAATTATGACTTCTTTTCTCAGAATTGTGTGAAATAAACAGGCCATTGTGTATTATAAAGAAAAAAGTCAGGTTATATCTCAATTCTGACTTTATAACACACAATTATGAGTTTATATCTTTCAATTCTGAGAAAAAAATTCAGAATTTGCGAGATGTAAACTCGCAATTGAGAGAGAAAAAAACAAGTCTGAATTGTGAGATAAAAAGTCGCAATTACCTTTATTTTTATTCAGTGGCGGAAACCAGCTTTCATAGTTGTCTTCTTTGGATTTCTACTTACAAAATATTGGCTAATGGTAAATCGGGTTAAAGCACATTTACGTGGCACCTTCATAATCAAAACATGACCAAATTGCAATAAATATAAGAATATCTGATCTCACTTTATTTTAAGGTCCAATTATTAACAAACCATTAACTACAACGTTTGCCTCAATAAACTATTGATTTGCTGCTTATTAATAATTAGTAAGGTAGTTGTTAAGTTTAGGTATTGGGTATGATTAGGGATGTAGAATATGGTCATGCAGAATATGTGCTTTATAAGCACTAATAAACAGCTGATATGTTAATAATACTAGTTAATAGTGAGAATTGGTCCCTATTAGGGCTGCACGATAAATCGAAATGGAATCGAGATCGCGATTCGACAGAAGCTGTGATTGTCATGCGTATCTTTCAGTGAAGCACGGTTCTGTGATCAGCAGTAAATCTCCATCCAAAGGCCAGAGGGCGCTCTCGCGCTGAAACTCCAAATACGCCTCGCAGAAGAAACCCAGAAAATGCCTATCGCTGCAGCTGAATAAACCGAAGATTCAACTGCTTTCATTGATTCAACGTGACTAATAAACACACGACTACGGCAATATACGGTTTATCGGAGTTCTTATTATTATAATTTTCATTAAAATAAAGTATATTAATAATGCAATGCCTTTATCACTGCGATTTCAGAATCGCGCAATAAAATCGTCTGCGATTTTTTGGCGTAACTTGTCAGTGAACTACGGCTCTGTGTAGTAAATGCTGCTCCATCTGAAAGCACGTGATGATGATTTACTGCTGATTACAGAACCGGCATTACTATCAAAATGCGCATGACAATCGCATTCAATTAATCGTGCAGCCCTAGACCCTATGCTAAAGTGTTTCCGAATATCCTTATGCATGCAAATGCAGTCAGAGAGAGAAGCATGCATGTCTTAAAGAAGGATGTACTATAACTAAAACGGTGAAAAAATCTTATGAACTACTAGATCTGGTGAACCTCATAAAGCAGAGTCTTTGCTCTCCTTCATGAGCGATTAATGCCGGTGGTCAATGCTAGCCATGACTTCCACCAGGAGTCTGTTTAAAAGCTATTAGGCCAGCTGCAGCGGCTGTTCCTGAGTGCGATTACACAGGCCACTGAGGGGAAACCTCTTAATAACGCTATTAAAACAGGATTACACTTCAACTGAGAATGTCCCGATCAATAGGTAAAGACGTCAGTGCCCACGTCCAGTCCTGTACAGATCTGTTATCGATTCCTGTTTAAACAGATTGTCCAGTGAACCTGATCAATGACTATAGTGTCATTTTTTGATAATTAACTAGTGTCATAAAGGTCTTTTTGATTTTTTTTTTCCTTTTTCTTTTTTTGCATTAACACATGGAATGTTTCTAGTACTGTAACAAATCAGCTGTTATTGGTCATGCAAAAACTAATAATTGCTAGATTGCAATGGTCTCTTCTAATTCTACATGGATTTTTTTTCAAGTGTTGAATTTCTATAGCAGACTAGTGGCACAGATTTGCAGTCAGGCGAAGGCAACAGTTGTTTAGTATTTAAAATGTGGTTGTTTACTGGCCAAACTTCCCTCTTTTCTATGCCATTGAGGCTCATTATAGAATGTGCTGGATTCATTCATTTCAGTACCACTGAAAGCTGGCAGTCAACAGGGTTTTACAAACAGTAATTTTAGACTGGCTTTTTAAACTTTGTGTACAGAAATCTAGAGTTGCCTAATTTTTAATTCTTGCTGTCTTTCACCAGTTTTGGCCACATTTAAGCAGTGTTGGGAAGTTTACTTTGTAAATGTAATAGGTTACAAATTACAAGTTACCCTATTTAAAATGTAATATGTACTGTTACTATTTCAATTACCGTATTGTCCCGAATATAAGACGACCGCGTTTTTTCAGATGTATTTCCAAGAAAAAAATATCGTCTTATATTCGGGACAATACGGTACTTTATTGAAGTAATGTAACTGATTACATTTTATTACTTTTTGATTACTTTTTTACATTTCTGATGAATGGTTGAGACGTTTAATGCAGGCAGGTTTAACCTTACAGTAGTACTCAATAATGATTACTGTCAGATTTCTCAGAATCCTTCATCACAATTTTAAACCACAGCCACCACAAAATCAGACTTTAGCACCTCTTTTTACTTTTAGGTCATTCTGAGGTTAAATACAGATTTACAATCATAATCATAACAAGAAACAGTTCAATAGCTATGATACTGTTTTTAAAATCAAATGTTTGCATAGATATGACAGGAAACACTGGCATCTAACAATGCTATGGAAAAAAAAAACTGTTAGAGATAAAGCATATTCATAAACCCAAATAGGAAATAAAACAGTTATCGAGTAAGCATATTCTGTGTCCTAAACTCCTAAACATTGGTTACTTATATTTTAGAGCAGTCAATGCAATTTGGTAAAGAAATCAATTGTGTGTGTGTCTGTCTGTCTGTCTGTCTGTGTGTGTGTGTGTGCACGTTTTTGTGACAAATGAAGACATACATTTGTATAATGACAAAGGTATGACATAGGTATTACAAGGAGAAGGTGACTTTTCAGGACATTACCCCATGTCCCCACTTTTCAAAACGCATATAAATCACAGAATGGAGTTTATTGAAAATCTGAAATAGCACAAAGTTTCCTGTGAGGGGTAGGTTTAGGGGTAGGGTTGGTGAAGGGCAATAGAATATACGTGTGTGTGGTTCAGGTGTACCCTAAGTTATAGGGACAAAATGTCCCCACAACGATGGCAATATTCAAAATCCTTGTCTTTGTAGGGATATTGTTTGGTCCCCATGAGGAAACAAGCTTATAAATCATACAAAATTAAGTTTTGAAAATCTAAAAATGCAGAAAGTTCCCTGTGAGGCGTAGGTTTAGGGTAAGGCGATAGAAAATACAGTTTGTAGAGTATAAAAATCATTATACCTATGGAATGAACCCATAAAACCCAACCTGTGTGTGTGAAAATATTCAGATGTAACCCCCTTTGTAATTGTTAACATTTTCAAAAGTAACTACAATTTAATTACACATTTTTTCTCAGTAACTGTAACAGACTACAGTTGCATTTATTTTGTAATTAAATGACGTAATACTGTTACATGTAACTAGTTACTCCCTAACACTGCGTTTAAGTAGGACACGGTCAGTGCAAATTGTGATTAACACAAATTTTGTGGGCATATTTGCAGCATATTTACATGATTACATGAAGCGGGTGTTAAACGGTTAGTTCACCACAAAATTTTCATACATTTTTTCATTCAAATTTTCACATTTTTTTTATTCATCATTTACTCACCCTCATGTTGTAAGACTTTCTTCTGTCGAAAATAAAAAAATATATTTTGAGAAATGTGTTTTGTTTGTCCATACACTGGAAGATAATTCTGACTTTTGTGTGAACTACCCCTTTAAAACAACATGTAAATAAACGCTATCAGCAGGCTGGTCTTTACACATACTTTTCTTCTGGAAGTTGAATGACTCAAAATAGAATAGGAAAAATAATGATAAAATCACAAGGCATCACCTTCAAGCCCTTGCTTTATTTAAAGAGTTAGTTCACACAAAAATGAAAATCCTGTCATTAATTACTCACCCTCATGTCGTTCTAAACCCGTAAGACCTTCGTTCATCTTCAGAACACAAATTAAGATATTTCTGATGAAATCTGAGAGCTCTCTGATCCTCCCGTAGACAGCAAGGATCCTTACACGATCAAGGCTCAGAAACGTGGCAAGGACATCGTTAAAATAATCCATGTGACATCAGCGGTTCAATCGTAATTTTACAAAGCTACGAGAATACTTTTTGTGCGCAAAGAAAACAAAAAGAATGACTTTATTCAACAATTCGTCTCCTCCGTGTCACCTTATAGCGCCATTTTAGGAGAGTATCACATACGTAAACAACGTATGCAACACATGTACGCGGATACGTTAGTTTACGTTCAGATCAAAGCGTAAACAACATAAACAGCGTATGATGCAGCTGACACAGAACAGCATACGTTGTTTACGTATGTGATACTCTCCAAAATGGCGCTATAAGGTCATGCGGAGGAGACGAATTGTTGAATAAAGTCGTTATTTTTGTTTTCTTTGCGCACAAAAAGTATTCTCGTAGCTTCGTAATATTACGGTTGAACCACCGATGTCACATGGATTATTTTACCGATGTCCTTGCTACGTTTCTGAGCCTTGATCGTGTAAGGATCCTTGCTGTCTATGGGAGGGTCAGAGAGCTCTCAGAATTCATCAAAAATATCTTAATATCTTAAATCTTTAAATTGGAGGTCTTACGAGTTTAGAACGACATGAGGGTGAGTAATTAATGACAGAATCTCTCGAAATGCATCAAAAATATCTTAAATTGTGTTCCGAAGATGAACGGAGGTCTTACGGGTTTAGAACGACATGAGGGTGAGTAATCAATGACAGAATTTTCATTTTTGGGTGAACTATCCCTTTAAATGGTTTGAATGCATTTTGAAATCAAACTCAGCCGTCCTCTTTTCCCCTTTATTTCGCCGACAGATCGTCCAGGTTTGACGAGCGTAGAGCGGATAGAGCGCTGTCAGGAGGAGTTCCTCTTGGCCTTCGAACATTACATCAACTACCGCAAGCACAAGGTGGCTCACTTCTGGCCCAAGCTGCTGATGAAGGTGACAGACCTGCGCATGATCGGTGCCTGCCATGCCAGCCGCTTCCTGCACATGAAGGTGGAGTGTCCCACGGAGCTCTTTCCGCCCCTCTTCCTGGAAGTGTTCGAAGACTGACAGCCAACCAGTCAGGCCAAGCTGCTCCCACCAACACGACCTCCCTCAGACTCCATCTCCCTGTTCCCGGTCACATGACTCTGTTCCCGGTCACATGACTCTGTTCCCGGTCACATGACTCTGTTCTAGCACTACTGAGCGTCATTTCATTCCACAGTTTTAGGAGTAGCTCTCTGGCCTATTTTGAATGGAACCATTCCTTTTACAAAGCGGGTACATGTGAATAGCGTTACAGTTTTTTTCTTTCACTCTTTGTAAAAAGAAAAATCAGCTTTCTGTTACTCTAGTTTTTTTTTCCCAATGTTAAATTGTTTTGTTTCTGATCATAGTCTTTGATGCCACTTAACGGAGATGTATGAACTATGCATTCGGGTTTCGTGTCACACGTCAGGCCTCAGAAAGGAGACAAAGAACACCATACTGCGTAGGAGGACCGCAATGTTTGGTTTCCTTTCACGTCCCTTATCTGTTGGCCTAAAGGTCTTTTCATTCTCACATTAAGCCATAGATTGTTTATAGTTCTGATCCAAACCCTAAGTGAGCTGCCTACCTAGACAACATTTCAAGACCGAATAGGAACATCCTTATATTGAGACAAACGAGGGCTCTTGAATATCGCAATTGTGTTTTCTAGACAAGATCACTACATGGAAAGCAAATTGTGACTTGCCCCAGCAGGCACAGGGCATCAGTATAACGTCAGGTTGACGTCACATTTTGGTTGAGAATGAAAATCGTGTTGACGTTGACTTAACTTTATTTTGGTTACACAACCTAAAAACAACAAATATCACCGTCAGCTGATGTCGGTATTGAACATCAAATTAACATTTACATTAGACATTGAATTGACATTGAATTTTGGTCACCTGACATCGCAACCGAAATTTAACCAAATATCAGCGTCTTGTGACGTTGTGTGCCTGCAGGGAAATTTTCCTGCTGCTCTTGAGAGTGAAATCAGAGTAATATTACATCTTACTGCTCTTCACATTCATTTTATCGCTCTGTACTCTTGTGCATTTGTATCTCGTGTTTTCTCTGACATTTTAGGAGAAACATCTGGAAAATTTTTTAGAAACCCCTGAGAATTCCAGAAAGCAACCTCAGAGCAATAAAATGGTCATGTGAACAGTAGGCATAAAATTATACTGCCTTCTAATGTCAGGATTTTCAAAGTTTCTTTCACACTGTGTACACAACTGTTTTTTTAATTTGCTGGGTTCACACATTGCACAATATTTCATTAGGAAGAATCTCAAACAAAGCATATCATTTACTAAATGCATGCATGAGAAGTGATACAGAGAATGATCTCTCATTGGCTGTAGGTCGTCGCTGATGTCATTTCCAGTCAAAACATGCTGCAAGACTCAGAGGCTGCATTCCAGTTCATTTTTTATGCCCTTCACTCGCTAACTTCCCTCCGTCTCGTTCACTCGGATGTCATTGATTACGTTGCATGAGTGCCCACTTCTGGCGGGCTGAACTGGAACGTCCTAAACCCTTGATCACTTAAAATCCGCTATGGAGTTAGATTATTGTTTACATTTTTCTCCTTATTAATTTGTTTGGTGCAGCATTCTATACATATATTGGTATGCTTGGGCTGTTATAAATGTAAAAAAAAATGTCTATAGGTGTTTGGGGTGGGGATAAATTAAACGCGGTCTACGATGACGTCATAATCGTGTTGCATTATGGTCTGTGGAGCGGCCTGAAGTGTCAAAGCCACTAGAAGGCAAGCCTGCAACCATTAGCTGAAAAAGAGTAACGGCTAAAGCTAACGCTTCTGGTCTGGCAGTACGTGGGAAATGAAACCAGAGGCCATTTTTTTTTATGAATGAATGTCACTGAAGGAGAGTCTTCACTACGATGAATAAACAGCTTTTTAGAGGAAACGGCTTATCATTTAATGAATCGACAGCCTATCTGCTAATCGGCTCCGGGGGGTGAACAAAGGCCTCCTGTAGCGAATCGATGCGTTTTTGTAAGAAAAATATCCATATTCAAAACGTAATAATCACTTGAATCTAGCTTGCGCTCTCTGTTGCAAATGGAAGCAGTTCCGGGCAGATGACGTATGAGGTCAGCTTTTTCATTTTTGGGTGAACTAACCCTTTAAATAGAAAATAATAATGACTAGTGAGGATATTTTGGCGCATGATGTCATATCCTGCTCCCACCCCTTTTCGCAGCACCGTCCGAACGAATTTCGCATGCTCAAAGTCTAGTGTGACCGCGGCTTAAGTAATACAGACCCTCTCATCTCCCTATAGTAAGACAATCTCCGTGAAGTGTGCATATGAAGCAGACTCGCACCCTCGGTCAAAATCAAGGGGTCGAGGCGGGTCTGTTCATATAAACTTCCCTCGTCCACTTCACCAAGTGGAACGCACTTCAGAATGGCAGCGGGGATTCCCCCGAGGGGACGTGCTTAGGGAAGTTCACCAGTGCGTGTTTAAAAGTGGAGTGGAACGCAGCCTGAGTCACAGATAATTAGCCTGCTAAACATTTTTTGGGCATTGACAATACATCTGTGCTTCTCTCAAATCACGTCTTTGATAACACACACTATGCGATCATCGCTCATGTGATCGAGCACCGATTTGCCTCACATTTCAGACGTTTGTGAGTGATCTCCAGAAAACCTGGAGTCGGCCTAAAATCGTGTAGCTTATACCTTGCATAAGATACCTTTTTTTTGTCCAAATTCCAAGGCAGTGTTGCATTTGTGATGCGTCCTTTGTTTTGTTGCCTACATATGCTTTTTTCAAAGCAGCTCGCTGGGTTTTGGAATCAGAACTGTTTTCTTAAAATAAAAATGGCAAGGTGGCATGTCAGTCTTGATGGTGGTTGTGCCCTTGAGTAAAATCCTGTTTCTTTATTAGTGCACCTAAAAGCTTTTTGACAGGCAGACCTTCATGATACCGCAGTTAGAGTGCACGTAATGATGAAATTCATAAAAGTTTTTTTTTTGATGAGCTCAGATGTTGATCTCCATCAACTCTTAGCCCTTAAAGAAAAGATAGCCTCTAGCCAGCAGCCACTAACATTAGCTCATTATGCCTCTATTAAGGTGCCAAAAACCTCCATAAAAAAATCCGTACTCTGTTTGGTCTTGTGTCGAGCTGCTCGGAGGAACTTGAGGTCATGAGTTTTTACCCATCCGTCGCTAGATCCTTTGACCCGCAGGGATGCAACTCTATTCAGCTGAATGCTTCTTCTCTTCTATAGCTGTCACACGATAGACCAAGGCAATGCTTCTGCTTGAACTTGTTGGTGCTATGAGTTTGCCGATTTATACCTCCGGGAGTGCTGTCAGTTATCGTCTGGGTGATTGACGAGCGCAAATACACAAAACGCTGAGGTCAGTGGTCAACCCTGCGACAAACAGGGATGCTTTCGGATGCGTCTGTGATTGTTGTTTCAGCCTGGTTTTACTTCTTTTACTGTAGTTTTTAATCTTTCTAGAGACATCCTTGTGTGCTGCAAGAGAGTTTGAATCTCACATACCTCTACTGATTATCAGGAACCGCCAGAACTGTTTTTTTTTCTTTCTTTCTTTTGCTGTTGACATGAATTCAGATTCTCACCTCAAAACGCAGAGCATGTTCAATTAGTGTTTTGTTATAGTGATGCCTTTTGTAAGCAATAGAATTGCTCCAGTGGTTTTACATGTTGTGGATTACACAAACGTACACGCCAGCGTAGATATTCAACAGACTCAAAGTCATTGCACAGACAATCAATGTGTTCGCAGAGAGTGTTATAGAAAGAGGGAAGTATGGGCCACAGCCAGGGTCCAAAATGAATACTTTGCCACACCTGTCCGTTTACTCCTCGCCAAGCTCCTCACCACCTTAGTTATGCTCAGAAATTAAACATGCCCAGGCTAAATTTGTATTTTACTCATTTTATTAGTTTGTATATATTTGATTTGAATTTCTCGCACACGTGTGAGATTCAGAATATATGTGTTTACAGTTCGATTTAAATCATGCATTATGTGTATTGTCTTATGTACTTGACAAAGCCAAGTTTTGTGTCTTTTCTTCGTGTCAGCTCTTGGCAAATGCTAATTTTGGACCCTGGCCACAGATCAACACATGCATGCTCAGACACGCTGGGAGTCAATACTATTTCCTCTGAGCGCACAGGTAAAAAAACTAACAAAAAAACCCCCACAAACGCACTACAAAAATAAAGATATTTATGGTGTAAAGGAAAGAGGCTGTATTTTTTCAGACCGCAGATATTTTTTACATGTTATATGCACAATATGAACACTTTTGAGCAGTTTTACAACAAGGAAACAAAAGACTGTCTTTTCTCAAAAATCTCTCACCATTCTCAAACAGAAACCAGAGTCCTGTTTTTTAACAATCTCTCTTTAATGATCTCTCCTTAGTGTGTGTTTCATCATTCCAGATTCATTGGTAATGACAACTAATATATGCTATCTAATAATAATCACAATAACAAAAAAAATAATAATCCAGCACAACCAATCACAAAAAGCGATCCTTACTGGATGTCGGAATACAACCTAAAGCCCACACTCTAAAAAATGCTGGGTTAAATACAACCCAGTGCTGGGTAAAATAGGGACAAACCCAGCAATTGGGTTGTTTTGA